CTATATTTCTTTCTTAGAAAAAAAAATACGTTTAATTTCTCTTTATCTTTTAAARGGGAAAAAAGACTATCATTTATGTCTACGATTCTTACCAAATGTGGTTTTAGCACTTCAACAACTTTTCTTGTTTCTTGCATATTTTGCTTGTAAATTTCTCTTTGTTTTTGAAGAGTTTCRTCATCTATATTCGACTTATTCTTTTGACTCCAGCTAAAATTCAAATATTCTGAAGTAGCAAATAAAACATCTTAGTAAACAACTTGTATGCATCCATACAAAATTGTTCAATAACAATCTCAATGTTGGAAGTGAAAGTCTTTCATGGTTTTAGTGTATGCAATAAGCGTTTTTCCAGTTCAATGTGAGCAACCGCTGTTTTAGTAGACAACAGACTCACTTGTATAGAGAACAAAAGAAAGCACGAAAAAATGTTGACATTACAAAAGCTCTAGAAATTTGAATCTTCCCCGATTCGAGGCTTAGCCTGAGTGGGGGTGCCATATTTGCCATAATAAGCTCAGAGAGGACCTTTCCACACAGCGCAGAGCCTGTAGTCTCGTTTCGCCCGTTTATAAGGCCTTCTTAGTGACTTCTTATGTTATTTTTTTGCAGTCAACAATCGGCAAAATTCGCAGTCACGATTATCGCCATTATAGAATCCGAAATCCGACGTTAAATTTTCAATAAATCCGTGATCCGGTACGTTTTAAGAATCCGGCAATCCGCTCTATTTTTTCTTTAAATCCGTAATCCGCGTGTCATTTCAGGTCCAGATCCTCCGATTCGAAAACCTATGCATCCCCCCCCCCCCCCTGAGCAAGAGTAGTTTAAACTCCTGAGTACAGAATCGGAGAAAATAAAATTTGTAGGGCTATTGTATGTCATGCTTTTTTTGTTTTTGGTAAGTTATCTGCGCATGAGAGACTGTTGTCAACTAAACCAGCGGTTGCTCGCTTTGAACATGAAAAAAAGGCATATTTAAGAAGGGTACGTTTATGTATAAAAAATTAATGTTCCATACCATTCAGGTTAAGCAGCTCAACAAGCCTGTTCTCCAAGTCCATACCAAAAGCAACTCTATTCCCCGTGTGAAACAGTTTTGCAATCTGAAGAATCAACAATTTACTWAGATTCATGTAATTTTGACTAAAATTAAGGAAAAACAGACATAGACGATATTACATGGACGCGCGGAGATCCGGATTTTATCTTCGAGTGTTGAAAAGATCTCTCACAAGTGAGCGGTAGCGAATGAGTGAGAGATTTTTCAACATGAGAAGATAAAATTTATATCTTCAACCGACCATGTAATATTCTGTTTATCATATACATATGAAAGCAAATTGTTGTAAAATACCTTTTTTTCTTACTTCCACTATATAGCAAAACCTCGAATGTGTTATTTTCACTAGTGAAAATATCAACTTTATGAAATGGCGAAATATAGGTATTTTATAAATAATTAATATATGATAAATATCGTTATCACCATTACATGTACCTTCTGGAACTCTCCCTCTATGTTACTCAAGCACGATAAGATTTTTCTGTGGAAGATAACAGTAATCAAAAAATTATATCTTTTCTGTTTTACCAAGACTCTAGATAGAATTAAGTGATATCAGTAACTTCAGTAATGCTTAAGGAAGTAGAGCGAACACTGATAATAGTCTTCTTAATAGTTCCCTGCACCATATTGAAAGGTAGCCAT